TGTCCGCTCATGTTATTGTTTCGCATTTTTGTGTGTTTTCTTTATTATAGTTTCCAGGGGGGCAAGCCCCCCTGAACCCCCCTCCCCCTCCCCACTCTTGGTATGATACACGGTGGTTCACCAAAGTTAAATCCCCTGCCCACTCTCAACCACCAACTCTCGCTCACCTCGCCTCGCCAGTTGCCGCTGGCTTGCGCTGTGCGTGCGCGAAGTCGCCCGCGGAACTACCTTTTGTCCGCACGCAGAGTACTATGACTATGAGAGCGTAGTTAGGCTAGGTGTGCGTAGTAATCACGGACCGAGACGGGTGGTCCGGTAAAGTACAATCCAGCCTCACCCGGTGCGGGTTCACCGTTATAGCCTAGATCTAGGCCAACAAATTTTGCGTTCACCCTAAACCACAGAATTCTACACTTTGATAACAGAAAAATTGTAGAATTCTGTGCCGTGAACAAACGTTCCATTACAACTGTAGCCTACTAAAAGCGTACAATTTTGTCTGTGGGCAGTGGAGAGAGAGAGAGAGAGAGGAGTAGCGCGAGAACTTCCGGTCAAAACAAAATGGCGACCCGCGTAGTTCGGCTCGATTCGAAAAGTTAAATAGCCGTAGCATCTTTGTAGCAGGGTTGGTGATTTTTTTAATTTTTCTGATAAAAATTTAAAAAATCAATTTTTAAAATTTAAATCAAGATTTTTAAAATTTAAATCAGATTTTTTTGATTTTTTTAAAAATGTCGACAGTCTGGGATTTTTGGTTGCTAAATGTATGTTCTTTTAGTGCAAAATGCATTGTCTTTATTTTAACTAATGATTAATTTAAGCAACTGCAAAAGAAAGCCTTAATCTGCTATATATATCAGTGAATTATGGCTACAGACAAAAAATTAAGAAAATGTCAGTCTAAAAGGAAGGGGGAGGGGGGTAATTATGCATAGATAAACTTGCATTTTATTACAGTGTGTGTGTGTGCGCGCGCTTGTGTTTGTCTAAAAAGAAAAAGAAAATGTTAATTTCAATAATGAAAAAAAAAGTAAATTGAATACTGTATTATTTTACAGTAGCAGAGGGGAAAGCAGACTTTTAAGCATGATTATATTAGTCTGCTAAACCTTATATACTGTTTTATAAAACCAAGGAAAGGAATTCTGAATATTTAAAGATGTAAAAACAGAATACATTTTTTTAAAGTGATTTAAATCACAGTTTTATTTTTTAAATCAAGTTGGTTTAAATTTTTAAAAATCAACTGATTTAAATCGACCTGATTTAAATCAATCCAACCCTGATTTCAATTATGAAAAAAAAAATCAATTGAATACTGTATTATTTTACAGTGACAGGGGGGAAAGCAGACTTTTAAGCATGATTATATTAGTCTATTAAACCTTAAAAATCTGTTTAATAAAACCAAGGAAAGGAATTCTGAATGTTCAAATATGTAAAAACTGAATACATTTAAAAAAAAAGTGATTTAAATCACTGATTTTTATTTTAAAAATCAAGTTGATTAAAATATTTAAAAAATCAACTGATTTAAATCAACACAGCACTGATTTCTATTATGGAAAAAAAAAGTAAATTGAGTACTGTATTATTTTACAGTGAAAGGAGGGAAAGCAGACTTTTAAACACAATTATATTAGTCTACTTAACCTTATATCTGTTTTATGAAACCAAGGAAAGGAATTCTGAATGTTGAAATATGTAAAAACTGAATACAAATAAATTTTTTAAAAAGTGATTTAAATCACTGATTTTTATTTTAAAAATCAAGTTGATTTAAATTTAAAAAATCAACTGATTTAAATCAACCCAACCCTGCTTTGTAGACAACCAAATTAATTTACTTTTGTGTTTTAACATCATTTTTTAACTTTGTTTTGGTCAATTTGATCGTCCACACCGATAGACAGTATTCAGAAAAAGACAGAGAGAGAGAGAGGGGAGGAGTAGATCTTGCGAGAACTTCCGGGCAAAACAAAATGGCGACCCGCATAGTTCGGCTCGATTCGAACAGTGAAATAGCCATAGCATCTTTGAAGACGATGAAATTAGCTTACTTTTGTGCTATAACATAATTTTTTCTTGGCTTTTATCAATTTGATCATCCACATCGATAGAAAATATTCCGAAATGAGGAAACACAGGTCTTGTTTCAAACCGGGTGAGAATAGCCTACGGTCGCAAGTCTCACCCGGGGTGAGAGGTGATCGTATTTCTATTCTCACCCCGGATGAGAATAGCCACTTCCTATAATTTAATATATGATTAATTATTAATATGAAAATTTTTTATTCGGACTCTGATTCTTGTCCAGCATGACATCACTTCCGACTTCCTGTGACTCGTGACTCCGGCTTCCTGACCTGCCTCACTCGTGACTCGCCTCAGGCTGGGTAGAGACCGGGATCACTTCGGGCAAAATGGCGTTTTGTGCAGGAGCCGAGTTTTTGTCTTATGATGAATTTGAGGCCGGCCTGAAAAGTTATAGCGCTTCTAATAAATATTTATTTGTCAAGAGGTCATTAGAAGCAATTACAGATGGCTTGTTAGCGTGTGTCGGGGTCGGATGGGCGGCCTTTTTCAGCATGTTGTGAGAGACGTTCAGATTTTGTAATTTCAGTATGAGTCCTTCTGTCCAGACTTTATCAAACGCCTTCTCCAGGTCGATCCAGACGGCTACAGTGTGTTCTTTTCTTTGGAAGCCACCCTCTGCCATCTAAGCAATGATGTAATCTGGTCTTCGGTTGATCGATGTTTCCTAAACCCAGCCTGGTTATCTGATAGAAGATGGTTTTTCTCTAGGAACCAGGAGAGTTGAGGATCCTCTCTAGAAGCTTGCATAGACAGCTGGTTAGGCTGATTGGGCAGTAGCTTTCTGCACTGTTCTTGGGTTTTCCGTCTTTGAGGAGGGGTATCTGTATAGCAGTTTTCCAAGCTTTTGGAATTTTCCCGTTCTTCCATCTGCTGTTGAATATTTGGAGGATTTTCTTCTTTGCAGTGTTTCCTATATGCATAAGCATGTCGTTGCTTATTTTATCTTGGCCTGGGGCTTGTCTTGGTTTGAGCTGGAGTAGGGCTCTATCCAGTTCTGTCATTATGGGTGGTTTGGTCATAACATCATCTTTACTTTATTTTCTTGTGGGGATTCAAAAAGCATGTATTTTTCTCTGTACTTCTATTCTGTCTGGGGATATTTCTGACTTGCCCACTTCCTTGTACTGCTGACTGAGTAGGTTTGCTGCTTGTTTACCTACTTTGGACTTGCCATCTTTGTCAAGTATTACTGGTGCATCCTTGTTTAGGTTTTCTCCGTTTAATGATCTGACAATCTTCCACAGTTTGTTTCCTTGTCTGTGTAGGTTTAGGGAGCTTGTCTTTTCATGCCAACTTTTCCGAATGGCTGAGTTAGTTGCCTTCTTTAATTCCGCTGCAGCTTTCTTTAGCTGAATGTTGTTTTCTGTTGTAGGTAGATTTTCATCTGCTTCTCTTGCTGTAGTGACTTTGTCGTTAAGCTAGATCTAGCCCTAGAACTACGACTCGGGCCGTGTTCGGGTACATATCCAGGATCCTAACTATTAGACACATCATATTCTGAGACACTAGAACTAGTAGAACGCACAGAAGTATAGAAAACGGCGAAATTATGTGATTCTTGTTCATGCGACTTTTCGACCGTTACTACGACGCGACTGTCGGATTACTATGAGCTGTATAGAAAAAAACAAAGCGCGAGTTCCGATCTGTTCAACCCCAGTTGGGGTCACTGTCCTTCACCTTCAATAACTTAAAAACTACCGGCCCCAGAGATACGAAACGAAGTCTAAGTAGCTCAGGCTTGGCCAAACAAGGGTACGAGGCGGGTCTCGCGACCCGTGCGTGATTTGTAGAGCGAAAAAAAAATTCTAAAGTTGGTCACGCAGGGCTTGTGAGACCCGTCGCGAGCGTCATGGCGGGGGTCACGCAACTGTTGTGTGACCCGTCTGAAGTGAGTTAAACCTATACCATTTCACCACTTTTTTGTGCATCATGATCAGTTAGTTCATTCATTGAAGGTACTAACCATGGATTATCATTATGACGGCTCATCCACAGTGTCAGGGGCCAATACATAATTTATGACAAAGCGTCGGGTGATTAGACACTTGCGTGACCATATGAGACTGGTATTTTGGTTTGTTGTTAGATAAAATATAGTGGCTACGGCCTGGTTGGACTGGTGACCATTTCACATGCACACAGTGAAATCATGTAGAAAATATGGAAAGTGGCTGTTTGTACAGGTGGCCATCATGGCAGGTTGGACTGTATTATATTGCTGGGGATATTGACGACTTTCCCACCATGACTAAGCAAGCCAGTAAGTACAAGACATCAAGCTTTGGATGAACAGCAATAGACTTAAACTCTATGAGGAAAAAATTGACATCCTGCTCGTTGCACATAGCAACATAATATATTTAAAAAACGCACCAAAGATTAATATATATTATAATATATCAGAATAAGCGGCCATATCATCCAGATAAGTGACAAAGTTACTACTCTAGGTACGGTTTTCGACCGAGATGATATCAATAGCATAGTTGTTTTTTTTACCAGAACCTGTTTATGTCCTATGTAAGTGGGCTTTGTAAAAGGTTGTGTGATCAGCCCAAGAAAACTGGAAGCACCACAAAGATCTTGATGAAAATATAACCAAAGTATTAATAACATTTGTACTATCAAGATTAGATTTTTGTAATTCTTTTCTTGCTGGACTTCACAAGAATCTTTTGTCACTGCCTTGAAATTGTCCAAAACCATTCTGCCTGACTTATAATTTAAAGAAAGAAAGAAGTAAAAACCATGTGCCCCAATCTTGCAAGAAACTTTTTGATGTAATATTCATCCTTGTCCAAATTTAATTGTATTTTCTTGCCTTACAAATGTGCCCTTTGTACAAATGACCGTGTTCAGTGGCCGCAATGACAGTAATGTTTGACTCACTTTTGTTTCAGGATCAGTTGACGTTGTGGTATGTGAAAAGTCTGTACTCAGGCAGTCAGATATCTGTTGAAAGTGAGTTGGTGTTCAGGATTTATCATCTTTGCACAATTAAAATAAATTAAACCATGCTGGTTTAGAATAAAAGCTATTTTTAGGAGCATACTTTTTTAAAGGTATTTCAATAATTTTTGTCACTGCATTTGTTTACTTTTTCGTCTTGACCTTTGCTATCCTTATATAATAACTAATGTCTATTGTTAACTTTTCTCTGCCGTTGATAAAGGTAACGCATGAGGCGTAGCAAATTGAATTTTAAGTCTTATTTTAGTGAAATTTTCTTTAAAGGATGATAGTCACAAAGAAAATTGGGTACACTCTGTAGGTAATGGCTGTGTAGAAACATTTTAATGTATATATTTTTTTTATGCCTTACTTCTTTGCTCAAATTTCATCTGTACGTGACTTTTTCAGTCCAGTGTCAAAGTGATGCAGAAGTGAGGCTGAACATCAGTTGGGTTCTGAGACGGTCACCGTGTGCTCAAGAGTACATTGGGTTGAATTCGGTAATATATTAATTAAGTATAGGTTATCTGTAGCAAACAGACCAGGGTAATTTGTCTCCAAATATTAATTGGCTAGTCTGCACAAACCCAGCTGAATCGAAGCCATGACTAAACTATGGTTTATGCACTTGTACAGGGTATGAACACATAAGTACCCAGAAAATGGTCTCAAGCAAGATTATACAGGGTCCCCACAGGGTCGGGAAATCGGGAAAAAGTCGAGAATTTTGAGATGGGTCGAGAGGTCGGGAAAAAGTCGGGAATTTCGTGATGGGTCGGTAAGTCGGGAAAGTATAGGGCCTGTGTAATGTGCAGCTATCTAGACTGTATGGTTGATGAATCCGAAAGAGGAAACGTAATTGAACCACTGTGACGGAAGTGTATGTGTGACACCGAGGCTCGATCGGGAAGAATCAAGATCT